ATCCACTTTGCCATAAATGATCTGCCTTCCGGTCCTATTTCAATAGACTATGCACCCTTCCTTTAAAACGTCTGAATTTTAAAAAAGAACTGAATATCATCTTCCAAATTGCAGAGCACAATAGTTACCCAGAACACCTAATCCGAAAGCTCTACAAGAATGTCTTCCCCAAAACTACTTTTCCTTGCCGTTTATAGGTCGTCTTTCAAGAATCTTTTTAAACACTCCAACATTAACATCCCCTTTTCGTCCAAAGATAATCTCCAAAACAGCCTCGTTCAGACAAAAGATAAAATCGACAAGCTAGTCAAATCCGGTGTTTGCAAATTAAATTGTGCCACTTGCGACGCTTTTTACCTCGGTCAAACTGGTCGGAAACTAGAATCGCGGAACATTTTGCTGCCATTAAACATAATAATTTAAATGCTAAGTCGTCCTTTGCCAACCACATTTTAAGCTCGGGCCATTCCTTTAATCCCAAACTAAAGCACGAGATCCTACACACTTGGGAAAATCTAATTGCACCCTTTCAACTATTTAATATGTAAACATAATTTAAATAATATTTTTCCTGTAAGTATAATCACAGCTTTAAATATACTATAAATCTGTGGTATAACTAGCTACCGTTACATACCAATAATTAACCTCTCTTTTCCAGCATCGTCCACTCTTGTTGTATAATTTATAATTTGAACTTTTTTCCAATTAAATTCTGCTTTAGTAAGTAATAATTTTCCTTCAGTATTTTGCTCTAAACTCCGGTTTAATTGAATTTTACAACAATTAAAGTTTTATGGGGAATGGTTTGTGTTTAGGATCTCCATTAACAATTGACCCCATTGTGTGATAATCCATATCAAGATGGACCTCAACAATTATTTTTATTATTATTAATGTCACAAGGCATCATAAGAAATAATTGTAATCCTAATTAGAATTAATTTAGTTTTGCCGAAAAAAATTTTAGTGTTTTATCTTTGACCTTTTTTTTCTTAGTTTTTTTGTAATAAAACCTGGCACAATTTTTGTAGGTTGTACACAGAAAAATAAGGTCTTTCGAATAGCCTAATAAAAATTTTAGGTTGCTTTTATTTTTCGTTTCCTTATGCGTAATATACATACCCAAAATTTGAAGCAAATCCGTCGAGCCGTTATCTCGGCCAACATCCGTACGTTCATACAGACGGAAAAAATGTTTTTTTTGAAAGCTGCTTAAAATCATGTAAAATGTCAACATTTCAGGAAATGTTGACATGTCCAAAAAAGGGTGATCGCAATAGCTACCCTAGCTCATGCTAGGGAGCTATAATGGCGAATTCGCAACCTATACTCAATTGCTATATTATGCAATTTAAAATTTTAAGTTTTGCAGCCGTAACGCTTAAAGATGAGAATTATTAACGACCGACAAAAAGCGAGTTTATGATTTTGGACTTTCGTGAACACGATAACTCACTAACGGTTTCGAATTTTCCAATTCTGTTTTTAGCAATTGCAATAGGTAGACAATGGTTAAGGGGCTAATTGATTAAACGTTGGTCAATATTCGTCAACTAGAAGTGACTTTGTCGCTCGTTGTCTACATGGCGCAGTATATTTGTACATCAAGATAGGGTAGCTAGTAGCTTGTAAAAAATTTATATGTTCTAATAATCTAATTGAAAATGTTGTGTTGGACGAAAGCATGTTGTTGCTATTGTTTCCCATTACAGTTCAATTTTTTTTGTCACCATAAATCAAAGTCGAAATTCAGTACCTGATTGGAAATGTACAAGATCTGATACTCCAATTTAACAAGTATAGTATAATCAATACATGAACACGAATTATATTAAATACATCACTAAATTTTCAATTCATCGAAGTTTGATGATCCATAGAAAATTACAGGGAAGGTCCGTAATAGTAAAACTTCCGCGTTTTTTTTCTGCAATATTAACTTTCAAAAATCTTAAACGGTTGCGGAAATTTGATTGTACTTTCATTTTTACGATGGGGTTAGTTTTCAAAATTTCCGAAACCGCTGGAAATATACCTACACTTGCACTTTCTTCGGAGAATGAAATCGATCAAGGATCTGAAAGTTATTACGGTATTAAAAAAAAGAGAGAGTGCCGGTAATCTGGTGGGGACTACTGGTATCGGTAAGACAAAACCGTTTGAATTCAAAAGTGCAAGTGTCATGTGTGCTTGATTGTAAATTCATAATTGGGAAGTCGTCTTATTACAATTTTCGTAAGTGTATCTTGACAATTTTAATGCGCTCGGGATACATTGAGCGCGAAATTTACACTTTCATAGCTTTAAAGTGACACAGTTGGGTGGTTTGAAGACTAGTATCAACTTTGGCAAGGCATTTCAGGTATCTATAGAATTTTTATATTTGGTAACAGAAGCGCGTGAAAGTTTTATTTCGTTATTATAATTATTGTTAATTTAAATATACATTAAAACGTAATTTATTTAAAGCAGTAACGCCTCGAATTTCGCTTTCGTCCTTCATTAAAATTGGTTCGCGAAAAATTGCAGGCAGCCATGTAATTAGGAAAATTACATTCATTATGTAATACGGCTATCTGAGTAGTTTTAGCGCCGGCACACGTTATACTAGAATTATCGAGAGCAGTGCTTAAATGCGAAATTTAATAAGGGTTCAAATCGAAGTAAACTGCAAAGGAACAAGGATTAGAAAGTATCGCCTACCTACATTTATTAGGTAACATAATTTTACATTGGTTAAAATTGCAACAGAGTAAGTGTTTAATGGTAAATGACAACACTAAAAACTTGTAATTGGTAATTAAAGGTCTATTTAATTGTGTAATTACTGTATTCGACTCGAATTTCGATGTACCTAGTTGACAGAGATCACCACTTAACCATGGCGAGCCAAGTAGGGTACGTGCTCGAGCAATTTATTAATATTGACCAGTGTCAAAAAATCAATGTTGTAATAAGTTGTTATTGCGCTAACGCTGATTTATATGCGTTGAACGTAGTGAGGCTTGTCCTACTGTCTCAATTCCCAATTTTCTCCAGACAACGCGTCCCAATTCAAATTTTGTTGGTCCAGATGACAATTTGGGGAGGGGGAGGGGGTCCACATGGTCTTGCTATCAGCTGAAGTGGTTAATTGGATTACCCTCCTTGACCCCTTTCATTTTTCTTCGTCTAAACTCGCTTTAACATTCGCCATCTTTACCGAAAGCAAGCGACCTACATATAGACGTTAGAAACCAGAGGAATTTTAAAATTCACCGCATTCACTCTTAAGCCAGCCAGCTGAGTGTAAGCCCTTAATATTTTTGGCAATTTCCGTACGTGGTGCGCCTTTAATAATATTCTTCTTCATTTTAGGAAAGATGCGACAGTTTTGGAATGTTATTGGAATCCTCTTAGTGTTGCATTTTGCCGAGAGCAGGATTATCATAAAGAGGCAAATCGATAATACCGACGCAGCGATCGATCCCATACAGGTGAGCGAGAGAAAGAGGCGAAAGTGCATATTGCAGATGAAATCGAAAGTTTTGATGGTTGTTTTTTGTTTAATTACGCAATCTTTCGATTAATGAAATTTTAGCAAATCAAAAGTGAATTTATTACGTCAAGTACGGAGAAAGCGTTTTGTGCGGCATATGCAAATGCAACAAATAAAACCAGTTGTGCTTCACCATTTCTTCTCGTTGCAGGAAATTTCTTACGATGTTGATGATCGAGATAAAAGAGGAGTAGCAGCGGCAACCGATGGCAAATATGCGATCAAAAACGCTCTACTGGGCTTCGTCTTTAACGTAAGTTGAATCATTCACCCCATTCCCCACAGAAACCCACCCCGCTCGCTTTCATTCACGTAATTCACAGAAAATCAACAAATTTATCGATAAGAAAACTGCGTGGGTGATCCAGTTGGATAAGACCAATGTTGCAAAAAATGCGGCAGCTGGAATTTTACCACCCCAAGATTCGGTTGCCACACTAACCGGAGCAATCACGGGAGTAATAGGGCAGAAGTTGCAAGCGGCTACTCCACTTATTACGCTTGTAACGAGCAAAATTACAAGCGGTAGTTTGGGGTCGAGTTCGGGCGGCGGCGGCGGTTTTAATTTGGGTAGTTTATTCGGGGGTGGAGGCGGTGGCGCTACTGCAAATGTGGGTGTGAAAGTGTCAATAGCCGATGATGATGATGGTGGCTATACTCGTTAAATTCGTTCTGCAACTTGCAAGTCTTGCCCTATACTCATTAAATCCATTTTGTTGTTATCTCCACACATCAACCCATTTGCAGTATGTATATATTTCATGACTGTCTTTAGCTTTACTCTATGTAAATTATGTACAGTAATTTATGTATGTTAACTTGTTATTAAAACTGAATAAATTTTTTTTGTATTTGATCGTCGTTTTATTGCGGTTGAAATGCATACTTACTGCTGTGAGTCGTCTTAGTGAATAATTAATGAGCCGAAATTTTAGCCTAGCAAATCAATCTCAACTTCATTTGTTAAGCCATCGAGTACTACCAGGCGCCCAACGACCACCGAGGACATAGTAATCTTTGAAAAGGGACAAGCTGCATCCCTTGAACTTCCTAGTCAGCTGTTCGGATCTACCTTTACCACAATTACGCGCGTATCCACCGCGATCAGCGATTTAATGATTGTAAGTGTCACCCGTTTGGTTTGGTTTCGCATTGTTATTTTGTTCTAGAATTCCGCCATTCGGCTGCAAAGGGCGTTGGAGATTTTCAGGCCGTCTATTCGTGCGATGTTTGGTGTCAAGGGATTTGTAAGCGAAGTTACGACGGATAAACCCATTTTCTCCGACGCTTCGAGTACACCAAAATAATGTTGCCATAACTGCGTAGATGTACCAAAGTCATTATTTATGTTCTAAGTGTGTAATTGTAACATGTAGAGTATTTATTTATTATACCTCGTTATTTATCTAATTAACATTGAATAACGTCAAGAATGGATTTTTGATCTTTTCGAATTTCTTAAATGTTGTGACTTTTTCGGGTTCGAGATCATAGAGATTCCCTCCCTGTAGGAAAAGGAATCTCTCTATGAATAATGACATGAAAAATGCATTATGCAAATGAGATTCAACGAAAATGACTAACGTAATAACGCATTTAAGTGTAATTGTGTTAATTTCAATGAATTACCTAATGGTAGATATAATAAAATAATAAAAATCAACGTAACTAGGGCAAAAAATTTGTACTCTTCCAAAATAGCACTTCTGAAAATTCCCCCTGCAACACCGGTGTTCGTTTTTCTGCAGGGCATCGACCCTTTGGCCCGTGCGCGGAATTTTTAAAATTTAACCGAATTTTTAAATCAGGTGTCAAATTCTTGACAGAATAGCTTCCTACCTGAAACCAAAAATTGCCAACATATGTACGCACTTACAGACGGGAAATTGCTTCAGAAACAAGATCGCTGCGTTTTGCACATATGCAACACAATTTTTTGATTTTGACAATTTTTTTCTCCGTTTTTTGATAATATAACCCGGCCCAATTTTTTGTAGGTTGTACACAGGAAAATGAGGTCTTCCAAATAATAGAACAAAAATTTTAGGTTGCTATTTGAAAAAAAAAGTTCGATGCCGTTACGGCGCTTTAAAATTTTTTTTCAAAAATCCCGCCCGTTATTTTTCTGTTCGGTATGCCTAAAACATATATACAAAATTTCAACAAAATCCGTCGAGCCGTTTTCTCAGAAAATTGCCAACAAACGTACGTACGTACGTACGTACATACCTACAGACGGAAAAAAATTATATTCTTTAAAAGTTGCTTAAAATGGTCTAAAACGTCGACATTTGATGAAATTTTGAAATGTTCAAAAAACGGCTATCGCAATAAAATAGGCATAAATTAATCCAAAGATTGTCAAAATTTTATGAAATTTGATATATGTAAGAGCAAAGCTGTAGAGTATCTAATCTAAAAGGACGTTCGGACATATGCTTGCCGTACCAAAAAATAGTGGTGCATGCTTAAATAAAAAAGTAGATCAAACGCATTTTTTTAGTATAATGCCATAATGTCTCTCTAGCAGTCAACCTTACATTTTTGTCTCGAAGTTTACAATGTATTTCCTGCATCCATTGAATTTATCCCATCGAATCATGTAACATTTATTTAAAACTTTTTTTCGATAGGTAGCTCTCTTTGTAATTAAAATATTTAAACTTTTTAAAAATGGCGATTTTCACTTTGTTCCAATTCTATACAAAACGAATTATTTTTTTCAAAATATCGCATCGGAATATCCATCAGCATCAAAAACTACACAACTTTGCCAATTTACTCAATTTAAGACACCCTGTATTGGCGCGAAAACTGACAGGACTGCAGGAGCTTACTGCATCAATAACACTCTCAACATCGATGGCATTAATCTGGACCAAGTTGGAAAATTAAATAGCTTTTCCATCCCCCCCTTCTGCCCATTACAAACGTTACTAAAATTCCCAGCACCCCACCATCCACGAAATTTACACAGTAGTTAAAGAATAGCCTTTTTGTTGACGACCTAGGAAACAAAAAAAATGTGCTATTGTGACAACTTTGTCCGTCCGTCTGTCCTTCCCTTCGGTTGCTACTAGATCTTTATCTTAAGAGCTATTGTTCTACTATTTTCGCTATTCGGTTAGTTATGGTGTCGAGGCTGCATTTATTACAAAGAAGTTATAGTAAAAAATCAATTTTTTCATGTATGTATAATCATTTTACACTTTTGTCGTTTAATAACAATCCCCGAGATCGCTTCTAATTTTATATTGGCTGTCTGTCTCTCTGTTGTCTGTGTGTATGTCCGTGTGCACGATAACTTTGTTTAGAAACGTCGGATCGCTTTGAAAAGATATAAGGATGTAAGAAAAGTTTTTCAGTTATGTAGACTAACGGGCCAAAAAGTTGCAGCCCAAAAACTGACTAAACCTTCAAAAAATGTGGTTCTCTTATCATACTTATTACAAAAAAACGTATGAATGTCCCGTTTTCTGTGCTAGTAAATGTTCCTTTGGTCTAGGACAATAGACTAGAAACCAATTTCGAAAGAAAATTCAAAGGGCTGTAACTTTTGAACTAGTAGCCCAATCTTGGAACTGCTTGAAATTATGGATTCTACAGGCCACGTTCTATAAGAAAATTTTTTTCCGGGACGATCTGAGACAATTTTTTTTTCATGGCAAAAAAAAAGGCAGTGTATAACCTTCCTTTTTTCCAAAAATCGACTGCACCAAAATTTCTCGGGAAAACACTTTTTCTAATTAATTTTGGTGCGTAGAATGCAAAACAATTCGTACTTTTTCGATCAGACTTCTCAATCAAAAGTTATAGACTAGAAACCAATTTCGAAAGAAAATTCAAAGGGCTGTAACTTTTGAACTAGTAGCCCAATCTTGGAACCGTTTGAAATTATGGATTCTAAAGGCCACGTTCTATAAGAAAATTTTTTTCCGGGACGATCTGAGATAATTTTTTTTCGGGGCAAAAAAAAGGCAGTGTATAACCTTCCTTTTTTCCAAAAATCGACTGCACCAAAATTTCTCGGGAAAACAATTTTCCTTATTAATTTTGGTGCGTAGAATCCAAAACAATTCGTACTTTTTCGATCAGACTTCTCAATCAAATGTTATCTAGGAAACGAAACTTAAAATAGTGTAAATCCTGGCAATTTTTCAAAATGCATCGATTTGCATGAAAATTTGGTTCAACTTACCCTCCACTTCAATATCTATGTTATGTCGATGGGCGATGTTGATATTTCAGGGGCGAAAACTACCCATTTTTACCAAAACCTATAAAACTACATATTAAAAGCTTAAAATGAGCAAAATTTGGTTCAGATGAGTTGAGTAATGATTGTTAGATGCTTTGGAATATTGTTTCAATATTTCAACCCTTAAAAATCAACCCCTATTGTGGTTTAATGGAAAAAAAGGTATTTACCCTCAAAAAGTTAATAATTTATTATTAACGACAGTTATTCGTCATATTGAATATCTGATGTGAACCTATTTTCTAGTGGAAAAAACTTACTTTAATACTCTTCATTTTGATATAACCCATGGGTCTATTTTGTTTCTTTAACTACAGTTCAGATTTTCAAGGTGGTGATATTCTATTTGAATCGCCTTGTAAACCTGGTAAATACTTTCAAACCGAACATAGGGAATTAACATGGGAAAACAGTTTTTCGCAGATTGTTGCTCCCCAAATTAACTTAGAGAGTTCATAATGCCATAATTCCAGTGGTGCCATTATGAACCCTCTAAGTTAATTTGGGGAGCGAAAAACTGTTTTCGGATGTTAATTCCCTATGTTCGGTTTGAAAGCATTCACCCGGTATACCTACATTATATACCTAGTGTATGGAATTGATGTAAGTGTGTATGTCAGATTCTAATGAACGAAACATATGTATACTGGTCATGTAGATCATTTGGATTCGTTTTTTTAACAACTCGTTTATTTTTTATGATAGAAAGCGCATTAAACAAATTATTTTGTAGGTTTTTACAAAAGCTACAACGCTATTTACATCAAATCCCTTTAAAACTTAGTTTTGAAATGATGTGAGCTTAAAGGGCTAAAACAAGGCAGTGCTTGCATAATATTAATACACGTTTTAAACGTCTATCTGTCTTAATTTTTGTCGTACAGAAAAATGACAGCGACAAAAATGTTTGGAATTAAAAAGGCTATAATTGGGTGCTGTAGAAATTTTTACGTATCTCCAGTTGTTCTGTGGTTATTTTGAAGAGAAGGACGTTTTTCACTTTTACCTTCAATTATTTCACAATTAAGTCTTCTAAACTGATCATACTTCTAGAATGTAATTTAGAGAAAACTGGAAAACGTAAAGGACCAATTTTAATTAGGGGGTTGCTTGCGCTGATGTTTTCGCTGAAAAAAGTACGGATCTACCTTATTTTGATCGTAACTCACAGGCCGAGAATGAAGAGATTTGGGAACCTTTTGTGTTTGTGTTCGAAATCAAAATTCTTCAAATTTTACGACAAAAATTGATAATCATTGTGTGGAAGACGAACTATTTGTTGTTTGCTGCGACTCTGTACTTCGTCTTTATGGTGGTTTTAACATTTAGAATTCGTTTTACCCGTGTAGGGTCGGGAAAGAATAACCCTACCGCAGAAGGCACTGCGTGTCGTAAGAGGCGACTAAACAACTGTTCTTTTTGTCTAGTTTTACCTAAGGCCCTAGGGTAAACAGTACTCTAACTGTTTTTTTGTACCATTATTTGTATCCCTATCTCAAATAATTAAATCAGCGGACTTTATTTAAGGTGTATTGTATTGTGTAGCTAGCACTACCCTTTTTGCATTCACCACTTGTGATTTGGTACGTTGGCTTTCCATCCTTTGCTGGTTTAACTTCTAATCCATTTCTTTTTCTTTTTTTCTCTCAGTTCTATCTTATTTTGTTCTGCCTGTTTTTTATAGTTAGTGTAGGGCGGGTTTTTATATCAACCATCACCCGAGCAATTTACAAGTTGATGGGTTTTGTTTTAAAAAATCATTTTCTTTCGTTGGGAGATCCCTTCAGAGGTTTTCCAGACTTGCTAATATTGTGCCATGTTGTGCCCGTGTAAATTACTGAATCTAAACTGCAAGGAATATTTTTCTAAGGTGTTTTGGTGTAGCACTTTTTATAGCTGTACGCTTTAATAATTTTATTTAGATTCTGTTCATAGTATTATTTACAGTTTCTCGTGGGTACTGTTGCCTCGGGCATGTCCAATTGTCTACATCCCTTGAAATATCTGAAACTTTAATTTCGCAATCTTTTCAATTCTTCTTTTATCTCCTATGTTCTTGCTTACTCAATTTTGGATCACTTTGTATCAATTCTGGACTCCAAAGAAATTGTCTCGATCAGAATTATACTTGATAATTCCCGCCATATACGGGATCAATTCGTTAGTGGATTTTTTAACATTCAAATCACTAGGTACCAACTACAAATTTTTGCAGTTTGTATTTCATTTACTCAGGACATATAACGTAGTAAAGTGGAACTTGGCCCCTTTTCAAGGAAGTTCTTTGGTCGTGGATCGTTGGACGTGACTTTTATGGTCAACTCTCCGTCCAACGATCCACGACCAAAGAACTTCCTTGAAAAGGGGGCAAGTTCCAATTTAATACTCTCGTCATTATTGTAGATTACATAAAAATGTTCACGTTCAAAGCCTACATTGAGTTTAAGAGACATTTATCCATCGGTGCTAATAAGGATTGGTTTATTTAAAAAGGTGCATATTCACGGAGTTAGTACTCCCCTTTTTGTTAGGCAGCACATGCAACGTCCACATAAATTTCGATTTACCCTATACATACATCAGGGTTACCAACAGTTATTATGAACAAAGAAGTTATTGTGCTTGTCATGCAAGTGTTTATTAACCTAACAAATTTATACAGTTTTAGGTGTTTGTGTGTTATCCACAGTTCGTAAAATTCTCATCAAATATCATGGTAGGTAAATGAATCGTCGGCTACTATTGTCAATTACAAATTTAATTGCAGAGTTTCGCACTACCTTCCATTAAACCAAAACCAAGCTCGCCTAACGAAGCCATCCTCGAAGACTCCACTGATGTTGGTGTACCTACACTTCTCACATCCGGACTGGCAGGTCGAGAAATAGACGCCGACTTACACCCTTTAATTTCATCGGAACGTAACGTATGAGCCCCCCTAATTTCCAATTGACAAACAAAATTAATATCCCGATTACAGTATCATAAGAATCGAGATGCGATGAACATGGCAATTTTAAGAAACACGCAAGGAATGCACGCCCCGTTACGGTTAAATATGGAACTGCTGGCGGTGAAGAAGGTGGGCCGCTTGCCTTTCTTGCCGTCTTCAAATGCTATGCACGATGCCTTAACCGGCCGTGATTTAGAAGTATGGCCGGAAGATCTATATAACACTGCCGAATTTAGGGAAATGGCCGGTCAGCCGCATGCTGTGGTGGAAAAGTCTTTAGGAATTCTCTAACACTTGCATTTTCTTTCTAATTAAACTAATAATTATATAATAAATACATTTTTTTGCATTACATGTTATTATTGTTTTATACTAAGAGGTGGTGTCCTAAGTTGGTCCCTATTGCAATCTCGAATCGTATTGTACGCTTTCCATGTCTGAAAAAGTTCGGGATCTAGTTTGTAGCATTTCTAGTGCATCTTCCTTCCACTAAGGAATACTTATTACTTATATGTCTCTTGAGCTTGTATAGATCTCGCCATGGCATATTTTATGTAGGTGCTCCATTCTCAATTAGTCACAGACAGAAATAATTCTCTAAAAAAATGGTAAATGTAGGTCTCGTGCTTTAGTATAGGAGTTCTGGTACACGACTTTCATTTCATTTCATTTATTTATTCGTTGTTGCTTTACCTTATAGTAGGTGGCAACACCATGTCCCTAATACATACAAACAATAAACTTAGCACAAATACTAAAATTACAAAATGTATAACATATTAAAACAAACCGACACATTTAAAAAAACACATTAAAAGATACATTCTAAAATTGTGACGAACATGCAATAAATATTTTAAAAGGTTTCAAATGTTTAAGTATTCATTTAGGTGATAGTACGCTTTTTCTACTAGAAATTGTTTTAATGCAAATCTAAATTTTTGGTAGGTTTTAATGGCCTTAATATTTGGCGGTAGTGCATTAAAAATTTGACACGTTCGAAACGTTAAATTTTTTTGAAACAATGATGATCTGTGTTTGCCAGGGTTTAAGTACATCTTCTGTCGAGTGTTGTAAACATGTTCAGGATTTAAAAAAAACGATTTCTTTGTAAACCCTAAGCAACATATCTCCAGAATGTAGGTGTCTATTACCATCAATATCCTTAATTCTTTGAAAATCGGTCTGCACGACGTATTGAAAGGTAAAGAGCATATAATTCTAATAGCGCGTTTTTGCAGAACAAGTATGCGCTAAACGTGAGTACTGCCACCCCAAGTACATATATTGTACCGAATATGAGAGTGGAAGGCTCAATAAGCACAAGAATTAAAAACAAATTTTGGAAGAATAAAAAAGTAAATTGTGTGCTGTTTGATAGGTCAGTTATAGTCCAGTCAAATAAGAAAAAATAAAAACATTAATCGGTAAAGATCTGAATTTTGGTACACATATTCATTAGTGTTCCCCATTGGACTTACTAAAAGTCCCCGTCAAAATGTCTTGCGCTCGAGGCACCATCTTGGAAAAAAGGAGCACTTGTTCAGTTTCTTGCCTATAAATCGGCAACAATTATTGATACGGAAAAATTTGAATTTTCTTTCGAAATTGGTTTCTAGTCTATAACTTTTGATTGAGAAGTCTAATCGAAAAAGTGCGAATTGTTTTGGATTCTACGCCCCAAAATTAATAAGAAAAAGTGTTTTCCCGAGAAATTTTGGTGTATTCGATTTTTGGTAAAAAAGGAAGGTTATACACTGCCTTTTTTTGAGCCCCGAAAAAGTGTTTTCCAGAGAAATTTTGGTGTAGTCGATATTTTTTTTTTGAGCCCCGAAAAAAAATTGTCTCAGATCGTATCATGAAACATTATGTCATTACTAGAATGCATTATCGCAAGACGATTCTGTTCATTTTTTGGTGCTTTTACAGCTTTCGGTGTAGTCATAAAAAAGACGGTCTCCTTCCATAACTACGATACGGGGCCTAAACGCGTTCTGACGCATTCAGCGTGAGATTACAGCTAAAGCATTGGAGATACAAACAAATGTAAATACTCTTTTTTATAGGGAATTTAGTAAACTATATTTTTCATGTAAACTATTTCTTCGTATCAGTAATAGTTGCCGAGACATGGGCAAAAAACTGGAAAAGTGTACCGTTTTTCCAAGATGGCGTCTCGAGCGCAACAGATTTTGACAGGGACTTTTAGTATGTTCAATAGAAAGTCGCAATAAATGTGTATACCAAAATTCAGATCTTTACCGATTAATGTTTTTATTTGTCCAAAATTGCGCTAATTTGACTGGACTATTAGGGATACAGGCGATTTATCTGAGATGTCTGGGTATACAAAAAAAAATCTGGCTCATTTGATAAGTGGCCCTCTGCGCTTTATGCACTGTCATCGCCTTGGCTGAAGGAAAGGCAAATTGGCACTTTTTGGGATTTTTGGTCATTTGGCACGTATACCTACACCTTTCGGAGGGTAGGTACCCAACCATAATCCGGATTAGGGGTATACTTTGCCCCCATTGGCCCATTTAACCAACTTTCTATCTCTTAAGATAAGTGAGATCCCCGCCATAGTGGCACTCCAAAAATGGACACCGTGTATATACTATATATTTCAAATATTCCTACCTAAGTATCCCTAAAATGGTCTCGCTCGATCCCATTACACTCCATATAAAATGCAATAAAGTTTGAAAATTATGATGAAAGAACCTTATTCACTGTATATCAATCCAAATATTTCACAGATTCCTACCTAAATAGATATCTTGATCTTTAAAAACAGATGCGCTCGGTCGTCCTCTAAGTTTTAAAATTATTTTTATTTGAATTGAGCATATTTTATCCCTTCTCCTCTCTGCAGGGAGTTTGGATTTTCCAAATTTTGGGGAGTTGCGACCCCACGGACCCGAGCTGGTAGATATAGAGTGAGGACAACTGTTTAACCTGCTAACATTTACATATCACTTTTTTGCCCTAACATATACCTATAGGTATACCATCCAAATAATTTAAAGTCTGTCCTTATTCCAAAATTGGTGCTTCAAAACAATGTGCTGTGTTGTGCATATATTAATCTCGTTACTACCTATACCAATTTCCTATGTAATTTTTATCTAAACTCTAATAACGATCTTTGAATCTTTGAAAATAAAAGTGAATGCCAGCGCATTCTCGAAATGTTTCTGTGTTTTGGCCATAACTTCGCTATTTGTAGGGCTACAACAAATTTTGAACGGGAAAATTAATCAGCATAAAATTCTGCACAACTTTGGCCATTTAAGCGACTTTGTATCTCTTACGATTTACGAGATTCCTATTTATATTGCAAATGTGCCCAATACCTATACAGTTTAACAGAATGTTTCACATCAGATATAGTAGTCTTTGAATTGTAACTTTTGGCTTTCTAGCAAAGCCCATTCAAATGTTTTTAACGACAGGGCACTTGATATAGCAATTTTTGTACATAAATATAAATTATAATTATAATCCAGCCAGTTCAACTGGTAGGTATACCGTAGACAAACTTATTTATTATTGGCACGGCCTACTACTTGAACCGTTCAAAAATCATAACTAACAATAAATAATCGGTGGTAAATCTGGTAATGTATTATTAAGCGTAGGTACCTATAACCTTTTCTTTTTTAAAAGTTTGAAAAAAGGTATAGGTAGATACCGAAAGTACATGATTAGTTTAAGGGATAATCATGAAGAGCACTAGTAGGTACAATGTATACGTATACCATGCGATCATAAAAATGAGTTGCTGTCGAGTCACCTTTGGAATTTTTGTTTACATTGGACATCGTACTTAACTTGAACTTCCAAAGGCGACTCGACATCAACTCATTTTTGATCGCCCGTTACCAAGGTACAAAACCGGAAACTGAAAAATATGTGCCATGAAAAGTGTGCTACATCGAGATAAAAATTGAGAATAAGAACAATTGCAAATTACAAAAATTTTAAATAATATTTAATAATTTGCCTACGTTGTTGTAGACAAACGAGGTTTAATCCAACCAATTATTACTTCAGTTCAGAGAGACGGAGAGGGTACCTGAAAAAAGGGTGTTAAAAACAAGCGCAGTTTCACTCCACAAAAATTTAATTTGTGCTTTCGTGACAATAAATTATTAATTAATATACAGTGTAACAAGTAAAGATTGAGTGGTAGATGAGTTCAAAGCAAATATTTGTTTAATAAACCCAAGTCTCCAAAAATCTCAAACTTTACTTTTCTTTCAAATTTTTTCAGTACCTCCAAGAGATGTTTTTGAATATGTCATTCCTAAATTTTTAAATTATAAATATGTATATAGATTAAGACTATGAAAAAAACGCAAATTTTGAAATTTTTCAGGAGCTTAGTTGCCAAACGAGACACGCAGAGGAAAAAATGCCTGTTTTGGTCCCATCTACCAACGCTTTAAGATACTTATTTGAACTGTTACTCTGTAATAACATTGATGGAAAATGTGAACGAATGAAAACGCTCATAGATCTTCATTATGGGGATTGGTCTCTGCAACATCTACAATAAATTATAACTTCTACAGGTTCCTATATCATCAGTAATTTGTAGGTCAGGTCTAAAATTATGGATCTGTATAAATTGATCTAATAGATATCTACTATCATACTTCTGTGCAATGCATTGAGCATGTTTCATTTTTTTTTAACGTCGACTCGCTTCATCATATAATATTTTGACTAATTGAGATTACTTTAATATAAATAAATATAGACTTCACGCGGAATGCACGTGACATTCACGTATTTCACGTTCATCCGGAATAGCGGGGCCTTTTTTAAAATTCGACCTCAAAGTTGGCCTTGACAAGCCTTGTGACCACACCGAGCAAAAACGTGACCACACCGAGCAAAAACGTAACAACGCATAAACAAACATGTGATTAGAATTTTAGTAGTATGCTTTTTCGCTCGGTTCGCGTAATCTTGGTGGGCTCACTGTCTCAATTTTGCGAAGCCAACTTCGAGATTAAATTGAATGATAAAGCACCATGACTAGGATGATGGGTAAAAAAAATTGACACCGCGATCTACGATAAGTGACGCGAGAAATGGATCCCGTCTTTACGAATATTGATGAGGTCAATAGATTACCAAGCGAGCAGTTTATTAAAATATTCGGAAATGTTGTGGAACACCATCCGGCTGCCGCCATACAAATATTGAAAAACCGACCTTTTAGGGATGCGGGTTCCATTTCGCATGCTGTTAACAACTATTTAGACTCGCTCAGCGAGCATGGTGAGTTTGCAATTTCTCCACCTTGTAGAAATCCATTGCTAATTTACAGAGGTGAGGAACATTTTGCAATATATTCCCGAATTGGCTGGAAAATTGGCAGATTTGGGAAAAATGAGTCTCGAATCGACTTACGAACAATCATCGGCGGGTTTGTTGGCAATCCCCCCAGACACCAAACAGAAACTTTCTTTTATGAATGAACAGTACTAATTTCGCGATTGGGCGCGGTTTGCAAAATCTACAAGGTCTGCTTTTAGGTACAGAATCAAATTTGGATTTCCTTATATAATTTGCGTACGAGAAAAAAACAGTCTTGGTGAAATATTGGACGATATTCAAGCTCGCTTAAAAAACGGCGGGGAAGAAGAGCTGTCGTCGGCGTTAGAAGAGGTGAAAAAGATATGTAGGTTGCGCATACTAACACTAATTTTGTGAAAACTGTACTTTTGCATTACATTTATCATTATTTAGTGAATATGAGGGTAACAGCTTGGAAACAAAAACGTAACTGATGTTGGCGAATGTAGGGTATTTAGATGTTGATTAAAAAAATGACAATCAATTATTCATGCCCCCCCCCTCATCTCCCTACCGCTAATATAATATATGTATTTTCCCCCCGGCTGTCCGCCTGAGATCTCAGCAATTACAATAGCTAGAGACTTCACTAATAAAATACTGACCTGTATTACCAAAAATGCGCTTTCGTCATGCATATGTCTTAGGCAAATAGTTATTTCAGGCAAATGGCATTTTCCCGGGCAAATGCTATCTGCCTGGGCAAAAGGTCCTTTTCAGTTTTTAAATGCCATTCGACCAGGCAAATGGTATTTCACCAGTCAAATAGCATTTGCCTAATCCCATTTTTGGCAAATGGAAATTTTATTTGATTATCATTTTATTAAAAAAACACAAACTTCTTATAAAACTAACAAAACATAAATTCTAGTAATAACAAAATGTAGTAATTAGTTTTTATGGGTACGGAAAATTCGGGGTAAGTTTACCTGTGTAAAAATAAAAACATCTTTCTGGTAATACAAAATTATAAATTAAATATAAACAATTAAGAGGTGTAATGTTTCATTTATCTGGTCTTGAAACTCAATAACAATACAATAATGGAAAACCACCAATGAAGATATACAACGCGTTCATTTAATATTAAAAGTCGTTTGCCCAACAACGGATTCGGCAAATGCTATTTTCCTAGGCAAATGACTTTTAAATAGAAATTATTTTGATGAAGTCATTTGCCCAGGAAAATGCCATTTGCCTGAAATAACTATATTTGCCTACGACACATATGATGATTTACAACTTGTTGGTTTATGTGTAATTCATCTTTCTTTCAAGTTTTCAGTCAAGGTATATTGGAGACCACAGCAACTTCAGTTTCTTAATTTCAAGCTGCACACAAGCGTTTGCTTACCCATCTTGGGTGTGGTGTAATCAATTATATGTAAACATTTTTTGACCGAATAAATATTTACCGTTCTTCGTCAATTTTTAAAAAATGGTGTAAATACGTTCTTAAAATAAGCAATTTGCTCTGAAAAATAAATGATTTGTGAGAGGCATATATTTTGAATGTTTGATTTTCCAGAAGTTACAACAAATATTACCGCAATCAATAAATGTGAAATTAACTATTTAACTATTATGGTTGTTTAAAATGTAAAAAAATTCCGAAAATCTCTCCAGATTCAAATGTCCTCATCACATACATATATTGAGTTCCCTCGTTATATTCTTGTGTTAAGTCAAATATGATCCGGATTTGAGGTCGCCTTTTCCTCTAATTAGTAATTTCCCCAGCTTCATAACCAAGTACCTTTGCTTCTTCGCACCGTGGTCCGAATGTGCCCCCTGCAAATGGCAGGAAAGCCAAACTGTTGTCGATTGCGCCTTCACGTTTGTCTCGTGAACGAGGCGGCATTCTTGAGTAACGAGACCAGGTTCCTTGATTACTAATTTGCGGAAAGATTTACCCCTACTAACTGTTCTCCATCTAATGTTCCAAGATTCCAGTGTAATTTCTTTTAATTTTCTGATACAAGAATTTCATTATTTATTTTATTCGAGGAGACCGCTTTAAGGGCCGATATTGAATCTGATAATAGGTAACATTTTGAAAAACTAAACATACTTTGTCCAATTTGTACTTTATGAATTTCTGTATTGCTATTATAAACCACAAATGCCGCTCCGATCTTTTCTTCGTCTAATTTTGAGCCATCCGTATAAATTTTAATGATTTCTACTCCAAAAATACCAAATTCTTCAGATAAGCGTTGTGGGATGTCCTAATTGACATACTGGTAAGAGTTTTTCTGCAGTTCGGCTTTCTCTTAAAATTTCTAATTCTGTATTATGTTTTAAAATTAAGGCTGCTTCCGTAGAAACAATCCTGTATGTTCTTGCAATTTTTATGGATATTAATCTTTGTTTTTCCTTCATTTCCATTCCCTCGTTCCAAATTTCTGCTCCATAAGTAATTTTTTATTTTTATTGCCTTTATTTTATAGTGAGCGAAGTGTTAGCTAATAGCTACTCTTCCCACTCAACCCACTATACAATCACAAACAGCCATTCCTCATCTGGGCTTCGAACCCAGGACCCTTGTAGCCAAAGTTAGAGCAAACTAACGTAAACCTGAGCTATGCAGATCGCTTAATTGCAGGAACGATAGCGCCTTCATAAATAATTTTTAGAATTATAGGTTTCAGTCCCCAATTTAACAGTCGTCCCGATTTGTCCACAAATATTTTTGCATTCCGCAGCAACAGAATTAATATGTGGATTCCAATTCAATTTATTATCCAATATTACCTACTCCCAAATAATTAAATTTTTCTTTACATTTAAGGAATTTTGTTTCAAATTTAAAAATAAGTCCTTTTTGTTTTGATGTTTTGCCGAAAAATATTGCTTCAGATTTTGCAACATTAAATTCTAATTTGTGTTCTTTACTCAAATTTTCTATACTGAAAAAAATTGCAGGAATTTTCCAATCGTTGAGCTGTAAAAATTGCAGTTTAAATTAGGGAATTAAAAATGTTTTGTAATATCTTATGTGAAACGAAAATGCATATGAGTATTACATGACATAATACATAAAAATATATTACTTGGTAAATGTACAGGGGAAATATGAAAATTCTCATAAGTGAACATTAAAATTACATTGTCGGATACGTAAAAAAATAATTACAATATAAGTGTAAAAACCGTCAAACATATACTGTAAGATTTTGGCCTGAAAATGCACATGTGTAATATTAATGACTAAATACTTAAAAACGAAGGCAGTGCCATTATTACTTTTGCTGATGTGTAGTTTTGGCTGAGGCGCTGATGTCATTTATTCCTTGTGCGCCCATAAGTTAGTGCGAGTTAGGGAACGCAATCCCGCACCAAAATCTCAATCCCGGTATTTGCTTTTGCAGGATTGTTAGATGTTAATCCCGCGGGATCCCGGTATTTGCGGGATCCCGCAAAACTTTAAATAAATTTGCAAATAAGCAATTCTGTGCGGTTAACTTCTGTATTAAAATAAATCGCTAATTATCTCAATATTTCACAAAAAAGTACCTGCAGCCTAACTTAGAACTCAAAAAAAAGGTGAACTTCTAAAGTGCCTCAAAAATCATAGTACATTTTTAACGAAAAAAGTTTGACAATTCTTTAAAAATTAACATCTCAGTTATGCGTTTCATTAACAAAGTACACAGAGTCGTCCCCTTGGTCGACAAATTCCTCAGTTCCGCAAATCCCGCGGGATCCCGCTCCATTTATGTGCGGGATTAGTCCCGCAAAAATGCTGCGGGATCCCGCGATCCCGGTATTGCATTCCCTAGTGCGAGTTAATCTAGTGCCGCAAGGGATTCATCTGCAATATATTTTAAATTTTTGTATTGTTTTGATGCAATTATTGACAGTGTCGTCCGCATGTGCTACCAATGTGGTATTTGAACTCAAAAAATGGTGTTATACAAAAACTTCCAAAAAACCGGCCCGGAACAGCTACCTTGTGGATATCCTTTTTGAACGTTTCTGTTAATTGTTTCCGATGTTATATAAAATTGTGCTAATTTGTTTTCAAGCTTTTTGATAACATTATTAAATTTCCTGGCATGATTATTCTTCTCATCTCGCAAATTATAGCTGGTGGCCAAGTATTATCAAAAGCGCCTAATATAATTGTGCAATATTCTTCTCTAGCTTTAATCTCTTTAACTCTCTGTACCACCTCTCTAATAGTGATCAATTGTACTTTTTTTTTGGGGAAAATCTATATTGGGCTTTATTAATTAGTTTTAATTTTGTTAACTGACAAACTCAATCCTATTGGTTAAATTGCGGTCGAGAACTTTTCTAATAGTCGATAAAAGACTAATTGGGCGAAAAGTATTATGAACATTAATTTTGTATTTTGGTATAAAACGGATAATTTGGATTTTTCAATAAGGTAAAAAATTTTCGTATGTATACTTAACGCAATAGTTAAAAATTTTATTCTCCAAACTTTTGGAGAGTTGTAGCATTGTATATACAATGGTTGTAGTAAGCTCTTAAAACTACCTAGTCCGGTCTCCGGTGTAATTCTAACATATTTAACCTGGAGCCTTCTTTTTCCTGATCGTTTCAGAGCTGCAATAATTTCGAAATTTGTTACAGGAATATCATCAGGAGCGTCACCTGCTTCCAAATTTATTTTCATGTCTTTTCTAATTTTGTATTGGGTTATCTAAAGTACTATCATCTTCTGGGAACTGTTTTCTAAGTAAAAAATTAATAGTTACTTTTGTGTCCGTGGTCAGGCTATTATTGTTCCCAATTATAATGGAAAGGTCTCGCTTTCTAAATTTTCTCCTAAAAATGTTGTAAATATTACCCCAAGCATCTCTTTCTCTATTATTTGAGCAGTATTTTTTTCAGCTCTTAAGTCTAGATTTAACTATTTCATTCTTATGGAGGTTACGAGCACGTTTGTATTCTTCTTTTCTTATTTCATTTCTTCCGGGAATTGATTTTCTTCTAAGTCTAGTAAGGTTATCATTCCACCTTCCACCACGAAACACTCTTTGTGAGAGATTTTGTTCTCAGGAATGCATCAATTATAATGATATTTAACATCTTGGCACATAATTTAATATTTACATTTCCACTAGAATTTATTAATTGATTTAAATTGCGTAATCCAAATTTAAATGTCGAATCAAATTTTTCCCAGTCGGCTTTCTTGGTACAAAATTTAAAGAGTTCAGGTAGTTCCTTTTCAACTTTGTTTCCAATAGTCCATGTAATTAATTTATGATCGGACAATGATTCTTCTTCGTTAATTTTCCCATTGTTACACATTTCAAAAATAGGTTCCGATAATGATTTTTACCATCGGTACCTACCGAAAATCCAAAAAACAAGAACACTTGAAAAGAAAGTTGGTAACCATCCCAATAACAATCAGCTAGATGATTTCTATCAGCCCGCACGTGAGTAAACTAGAGAAAAAGGTCAATTCGCCATTAGTCCCCACCCTGGAACTTTTAAAACGAGAGCATTTCTAGTTACAAGTCCAACAACACTCATTCCCATTCCACAATGCGACACTTCCAAAATAAACCACGGAAAAAAAGGAAAAACTGCTGTTTTCACTTCCACTCCTGATAAGAAAGAACTCGAGATTATCCCTAAAGATAAAGCAACCATAGAAAGAGAAATAGTTTCTGCAACCGTTGCAAAACAACCTGAGAATGTGGCTCCGAAAATAAAGAAAAACAATGAAGTCAAGGCAGCCACTTAGTTGTGAGCAATGAAACTATAAGGGTTACTTGTGGGGTTTGACCATAACAAAACGCACAACTTCCATTTCTGACGACAACTTCACTCCGAAGATTACCACAACACCTAATTATTTGTAATGACTACAACGCCCAACTTGATCACAATCCCGAAACTGAATTTTGATCATGCCTAACTTGACCATAACCCTCAACGATCACTTTACGACGCCTTAGCCAATCTTGACCATAACGTGGAAGTTTTAGAAAATTTATAAGCCTAACGCAATTGCAAAAAGTTGAAAACTTAAATTTAATAAAAAAAATAAGGCTTATATATTGTTAATTAGTTTATTGTTATATTTAAACAAAAGGTTATAATAATAATGAAATAGGTCATCGATAAGCATATCATCGGTCACCGTGGATAAAAACAGATTTGTTTAGTGTATCGGTTGACTGTCGCGAGAAATGGATCCCGTATTTATGAACATTGATGAGGTTAATAGATTACCAAGCGAGCAGTTTATTAAAATATTCGGAAATATTGTTGAACACTATCCGGCTGCCGCCATAGGAATATTGAAAAACCGGCCTTTTAGGGACGTCGGTTCCATTTCGCATGCGGCTAACAACTATTTAGATTCGCTCAACGAAAATGGTGAGTTTGCAATTTCGCCACCTTGTAGAAATCGGTTGGTCATTTACAGAGGTGATCAGAATTTTGCAACAGCATCCCGATTTGGCTGGAAAATTGGCCGATTTGGAAAAAATGAGTCCCGAATCGACTTACGAACAAACGTCGGCGGGTTTATTAGCAATCACCTCCGATACCAAACAGAAACTTTCTTGTATGAATGAACAGTAATTTTTTTAATTGAAGGTGGTGTGCAAAATCTACAACGTCTGTTTTTAGGTATAGTGTCAAATTTGGATTCCCCTATATAATTTGCGTACGAGAAAAGAACAGCCCAGGTGAAATACTGGACGATATTGAATCTCGCTTAAAAAATGGCAGAGAGGATGAGCTGTCGTCGGCGTTGGAAGAGGTGAAAAAGATATGTAGGTTGCGTATACTAACACTTATTAAGCAATAATAACTTTTGGTAATTTTTTAAACATGGTGTAAATACGTACTTAAAGTAAGCAATTTGGCCTGAAAAATAAATGATTTTTGAGGAGCTTATATTTTTTTACAAATGCATTTCCATTTTTTTAATAATCAATAGGAACAATGCCCCTTTGATAACATGATACGTTTTATGTGCTGGGATTTGTCGTTATTTTATTCGGTGAAATTGTCCTAATGCAGATAGCAACTGGTTTTCCACTTTCCTCTACCCTGAGCCTACTGTTTCATTTGGTGGTAAGTTTTCCTTCCTATAATATGTGTTAGCAGTCCAGTTCCTCTCCCACTTCTTTCCTCCGACGATTCTTCTCATTAAACAGTATCACCAATCTTTCCTCCCGATCTTAAAAAAACTTCTTTCCTCATCCACTCTTAAAAACATCCCTATTCCTCACTCTTTCTGTTCACTTTACTTTACTTGTTCCATTTTCCGCCAAGTACCTTTCTTCTTGCTTATTCATACTACTCGTTTTTAATTCGTGTAGGTGGCATTACTCCAAACTGAGACCCTAGAAAATCAACCGGTATTTTTTCGCAGTAATCAGTCCTTTCACCTTTCCGAATGCTGTCTTTTCTTGATATAATCTACTCTTTATATCCTCCGTACAACTTCTATTCCATTTGATACTGCTGCCAAACACCCTTCCAACCGATATGATTTTCTCCATCATTCATTGTAGTTCCTTCACTGTTCCTGCAAGTACGTATGTACTACCGTGTCGTCTGCGTTTTTATTATCTTTATGTTGTTACCATTATCACTATTTCTAATAATTTTTCCGCTTGGATCAATCCTCTTCCTGTATTCACTTTTTTTTATACAGCTTTCTCGACAGTTTTCTTTCCAGTCTATACAATACTACCTAGTTGACTCTGTCAAATAATAATATTTCTACTGGTGTAATTTTATATTTCTTTGCATAATTTTTCTTTGGGACAAATACCCGTACCGTGAATGATATATTTTACAAGTTTGGTAACTCTGGCTATAGCACTTTGGTCTAATGCCTTTAGTGTAGGAACACCATCAGAGCCAATCGCTTCCTTATTCTTGAGATCAGTATTGCTTTTCCACTTCACACCTCATAATCTCCAGTCTTTTATTGTCCTCCTTACACTCCACTCCTAAACCATCCTGCTGCACCTTATTCGACTCATATAGTATTCTGTAAATATACAGTGTTATTTATTAAGTCTTTAAATGGTCAAGTTCTTCTGAAGCGCGCCTAATTTTATGCATCCAAAAAGTTCTGGGTGTCATATTAGTTAATTTGAATATTGTTGTTTGGCTTCATAGAACATAAATCTTTTCTTCAGTTGAATACATCGCACACGAACGAACATAAAAACACGGAAGTCACAGCAATAATATTCATATTAATTAATGTGACAGCCAGATCCTTATTGGTTTTTAAGAAGTTATTTTGGTTGCATAAATTAGGCGCTCTGTAAAAGAGATTTTGTCATTTAAAAGCAGACATAGAGAAAAACAAATAGCACTATACTCTATACTTCTATACTGATTTCGTCCATACGCACTTGTTTTCTATTTCTTCTATCTTTTCACCCACTGTTGTCTAGCCTTGTAGCAATGTCAATTTCCTCTTCTCGGTCCTCTTCAAATATTGTTTACTAGATCTCTTAGTGAAGGGTTTTCCCCTGACATTTGGAAACTCAGTTATGTTATTCCTATCTACAAAACCAAGAATAAAGCGGATATGTCCAATTATAGAGCTATATCGATTACGTCAGTAATACCAAAATTGTTCGAAGTTTCCATGACTTAAAAGCACTATAATTAACGAACAACATGGTTTTTTCCCTAGTCGTTCCACAAACACCAACCTTTTAACTTATCAGCATTATATTCTTAGTTGTTTTGATGAAAATACGCAATTAGATTCCATATATTTTGACTTCTCTAAGGGATTTGATAGAGTAAACCATAATATCTTGTTATCTAAACTTTCTCTCGTTGGCTTATCTGATCCAATATTGTCATGGATTCCTTCTTATCTCACAAACAGAATTCAAATGGTGAAATATAAAAACTTTATATCAAAACCAATATATGTCTCATCTGGTGTTCCTCAAGGTGCACATTTGGCTCCACTATTATTCTTAATATTTATAAACGATATCAAATCTGTGTTCAAATCGTCCAAAATATTATTGTTCGCGGATGATATAAAAATATTCAGTCCTATAGAATCAATCAACGACTGTATCAATCTGCAATTGGATATCAACGCACTCAGCCTGTGGTGTGAAACAAATCAGATGGAAATAAATCTCACTAAAAGCTTTAGTATAACTTTCCATCGTACTGTAAATCCTGTTCAATTTACATATACCATAAATAATTGTGCACTTGAAAGAAAATCTACCGTTACTGATCTCGGAGTTATTTTCTCTTCTGATCTTTCGTATCGTATTTGTAATAAATCACTGAGACAACTTGGATTTATGCTGCACTTATCAAAAAACTTTCGAAGTCACTTTATCCTTAAATTAATGTACCTGACTCTTGTTCGTTCCTCTCTCGAATATTGTTCCCAAGTTTGGTCTCTCTATTATTCCACTCCTATTTCAAAACTCGAAAGGGTGCACCACAAATTTCTTCGTTTCTTCAGGGTTAGGTTACGTCTGAATTCATTTGCATACCACTATTATTTCTCCGTTCTTAAGGTATTAAGCATTAATACGTTGCTTGCTCTTCGTCAGTTTCTCGATTTTGTCTTTTTTCATAAACTTCTAAACGGTTGTATTGACTGGTCGTATTTGGTTGAATTAATAGTCCAGTCAAATGGCGGTTTGGCCTGGATGTTGTCATTTGACTCAACGAAACCAAGCATATCCTTTGTAAAAAAAATCCGCTGAATCCGAAAATCATAGTCCCCTGGCCGGAAAATATTGTTATTAACAAAAAACGGAGTGTGGAATTTTTTTAGTTAACTAACAAATGGAATAGCTTCCGAGATATAACAAGAAAGTTAACTGTATAATCGGCCCTTTTTTTTAATGTACGTCTTTCCGAGCGCTTTCCATTCGCCTATTATAGAGTTAGATTCTTTGTATATTGCGGGAGTTATTCCATTTGTTAACTAAGAAAATTCTTCGAATTCCGAAAAAAAATTCTACAGTCGGTCGATTTGCAAGAATCATCGGGACAATTATTGGCAAAGATTGTTTTAGGGTTAAACTATGTATAAAAAATGGGAACGCTCTTGTAGTCCCCCAGTTTGCAAGACAAAGCATCCCTTTTTTTACTTGTTTATTTAATCAATCAATTACTATGAAACCTACGGTGATCGGGTTTGTCATATTGTTTTGTTATCAAAAGAAGTTACTAAGTACGGATTTTCAAAAAGATCGGATGAATTTTACTTGGTAATAACAAACTGTTAATTTCAGAGATTAAATTTTCACATTTTTCCATAAAAAACAATAACAATTGAAAATGAGCGTTCCGAACCAACTGTATTTTATAGAAAATTTTATTCTAAACAAGTTCATTTCTATTCATTCTTTCCCTCAGAGCAATAGGTAACGAGATATTCGAAGAGAAAAACACGACATTTTCTCGTTTTTTCTTCGTTTTTTGTTAATAACAATATATTCCGGCCGTTTCCGGTCAGGGGGACTATGATTTTCGGATTCAGCGGATTTTTTTACATAGGATACGCTTGGTTCCGTTGAGTGAAATTACAACACCCAGTTTATACTACTTTTAAAGCTAATTTGACCGGACTATAATAACATCTAATGTTCCTGGAAGAACTCTTAGGTTTAGTCAATCTTTTAGTATAAAACTGTATAAAACGTTATATTTACAACACACCCCGATTATAAGAATGATGCGTTTCGCAAACTCCTATCCGCAAATTGAAATAATAGGTGTTAGTTTATCTGAACTTAGAAATAATCTTAAGTTGTTATTAAATGATGTCGACAAATCATACTACCAATGTTAGTTTAGTTAGTTTATTACTGCTCACTGTATTTATTTTTAATTTCCTTTTTTCCAGTAATTTAAGCATAATTACCTTTTGTATAATGTGAATTGTACCTACACAAAACTTTTTTTTGGGGCCTCTCCCGTAAGACTAAATAAATTAAAATTAAAAATTCCCTTCTTATTTTGCTTATTCCATCCTTTAATATATTTATTGCCCTACAGACTTATCACCCAATTACAGGACAATTCTAGTAACAATAGTATAGTGTACAGTGTATCTAATCTATACTAAACAAAAAAAAGAAAAAAGTTCCAAACTAATAAAACAGATCCTAACACACATAAAGAAAACCTTCCACAGTATTAATAATTTTTCATTTCCTTCATTCATCAATCTTGTCCAGAATTGCTTCTGACCTCCACTTTTTCTGACACTCTCATCTATTCTTTCAATTGCATTTGTTACTACTGTAACGGAAACGCTCCAGACATGACGTCGCCTTTGGCGCTCTGGAATTTTCTACGCGCGCGATAGTAGGAATATTCGAGAATGTTCGGGACTTACATTGCTTGCGTGTATAAATGGTTGCGGACCGAACATCGCGGCAGTCTACTACCGAACGAGTACGTAAACATTGAGCGCGAAAGTCTGATATAAATTGCGAAGTGTGTGTGATATAAATAATCGATATAAATTGTACGGTTTTTATAGTGTTTTAGTTTTGTTTAATAAATATTGATATAAATCGAACCCGAATTTTATAAATCACGTTACACTACTTACTACTTCCTGGATGTTGCATCATTCTTCCTTCACGTCTGAACTTTGTGGGTGGTAATCTCTTTTCTAAATGCTTATGGTTCGCAATTCTACTGCAAGTAGGTTGTGGTCTGTGTCAGCATCTCCCCAGGAGAAGTTCTGGTCCATGTGACACTGTTTTGAAACATTGCAACTTGTTCTCCCCTATCAGGTGGCACAATTAGATTTTAAGTTCGACGTTTTAATTTTTTGAGGCCATTTATAAATGGAATTTTTTTAAAATACGGATCTGCATTTTTTATTTTTTATTTTAAAAGAACTCGTCATTCTGTATA